GATGTGCGAACAATTCAACACAACTGCACAACGACACTAACAACAACTTCAACATGAGAGAATTTTTTATTACAAAAAGTTTAGAATAATTTTAAACTGGTAAAAGCATAAAATGCATGAATTTGTTTATTTGTTTGACTGGAGACTGGTTGAGGGACGTGTTGGCCACTGCCGTACACACGTTCATGCGTATCGTGCGTGAACACGCGGTTTCAAAGCCTAAAACGCTTTTGTTATGAACATTTTGGCGTGCAAGAATGTGACAACGTTTCATTATCATAGAAATTTTTTTATTTTAAATGAACTTTGGGAAGAAAATTGTAATGTTCCGTACAATGAGGATATGATATACGTTTGACGTTTTGTGTAACAGCTCTGATGAGACAGCACCGGGGAAATGTTTCTATTGGCAGGAGATTTGTTAGGGTTGTAAGATTCAAAACGATGCTGCGACGATTTCTAATACGATACTGGTCACAAAATTTCATTTCAGAGTGAGAACTCCAAAACTGACTTGCTATTCACCGCTGACTAGAAGTTTTCATCAATTTATTTATTATTATATATGGATAGTTTTATAAAACAGATACACAAATAGACTTTAAAGTGTTTAAATAATATAAGTTGAATTAAGAAAAAACAACAAAAAAATGGCAGAACAGAGTATAGAATTTTTTAGAATAAATTTGGAAAAAGGCATTTTCGTATATTAAAAAGCAAACAATGTAAACAAACGTTCTCAAGTTGGGCTGGAGCGAAGCAATGCACGCGAAACACGAGTGCATATCTGCATATGAAGCGTGCACAAAACTGAAATCTTTGTATGCATTTTCTCCATTTCTTCAACCGACATGTTAATGTTTATGTACCGAACCGATTTGAGTTATTTTCCCAAAACTCATTTAACACGTCCTGGCAGAAAATAACCGTCAAAATGTTTGATTGGAAATTTTGAAATTTTAATAAATATGAAAGAAGGTGCAATGATGACAGAGGAATGATTTTACAACACATAAATGCAAAACTTCAATAGAAAAATTGTCTCCATGAGCGAAGGTCAGCAGAGGCAGACAGGAAGAGGCGTCCAGTGGTAGTAGCATGTTATGATGGAAATTTCACAAGTGTCTCTAACACTCATGAAACAAAATGTGCGTCTGTCAGTTGGTAGGTTTCTTACGTTTTCAGTACTTCAAAAAATATAAAGGTGCATTACTAACCTGCAAAAGTTAGCTGCAGGTCCATCTTTCGAGAGTCTGGAAAAGTGAGACAGAAGTATGAAGACGTGGTGTTGCAGGCACTCACGTACACGCAATCGTCTTGCAAATGTATCACGAGCAAGTGCGTTGGTTACTTTCCAAAATTCGAACGAACACTCAGATGGACAGAACGCTGGAGACGCACACGTCGGAATCGCATCGCCGAGTGACTGCGAAGGAAGAGAGTTCGAGATGAACGAATGAAATCAATGAAAAAAAAGTTAAAAAATGAAGCGAAAAACAGGGCGATAGAAAAGGAAAAAGAGAAAAAAAAGAAGAAAAAAGTAAAAAAAAACAATAAGCGGAAAATGAAGATCTCGATAAAAAGAAGCAATAAAACACCCAAATGACAAAAAGTTTACAAGCCGTCTGCCCGTCTACATACATACCTTATAAGGATTTATTTCACGGCACAGCAACAATAGTAGAATGTGCCAGGTATTTGTACGTATTTGTCCCTGCCTGTCTTCAATACATATACAAGCGTGTTTTATCTTCATACGCATTACCTGTGAGTTTGAGTGTAGATGTGTTATGTATGCGGTTGTATGTATGTATGTATGTATGTATGTATGTATGTATGTATGTATGTATGTATGTATGTATGTATGTATGTATGTATGTATGTATGTATGTATGTATGCATGTATATGCGGTTGTATGTATGTATGTAACGAAACGAAACGAAACGAAATTTTATTTGCTCCATAAAATTAAAAAAGAATTTAATGATAAGAAGCGGGCTGACCATGATAGAATTCTTATTGGAAATCATCGAGCATGGCCACCGTAACAGAAAATACAAATTATGTTTCTAGTTTTCTATATAAATTATACACCTTTGAATGTAATGTTCCTTGAATAATTCACAATTAAAAACCAACACATACATTTATGTGTGTTTTCAATAGAAACGTTTTTAATCTATTTTTGAAGTTCTTGTGCATATTTTCATTACAAAAACCATTTTTCATAATATAATTCCATACTCTTGGACCTTTACATATAATATGTGAAAAGAGTATATTCCTTTTTGATTTATTAGCTAAAATGTTATTTAATCGTCTATTGTTAGTATTTAAATTGAAATAGTTATTGAAAATATGCGGGAGTTATTAGTCAGCTGCCTATACACAAAAACGGCGATGCAGTACAAGTTCAATTTATTGAAATCTAAATTGTTAGTTGTTGTGAATAGTTGATGAGTGTGGGCTTGTTTTCTTGACAACGTGATAATCCTGATTGCCCTTTCCATCAGTATCATGATAGGATGGGTGGTTGATTGGTATGCACTGGCCCAAACTACATTGCAGTACGTTACGCTAGGCAAACATATGGCATTGTAGAGCACGTTTAAACATCGTTTTGGGAGGAAAAATCTGACCCTGCTGATTATTCCAATTGACCTTGCCAATTTGTTGGATATGTAATCAACATGGGACTTGAAACTCAATTTCTGATCTAGAAATACACCCAGAAATTTTACTGTTTTACTTTCAGTAATTTCAAGATTATTAATTTCGATTTTAAACGGCTCTTTATAATTTAAATATTGCATTGGTCCGAATACAATCATTTGAGTTTTTGAGTTGTTAATTGTTAACCTGTTGCTGTTGAACCAAGAAACAACGTGTTTTACGTTATCGTTCGTTTTTTCAATTGTTTCGTTGATGTTTTTTCCGCTACTAAAAATGTTAGTATCATCAGCGAAACAAACATAGTCGAAATAGTCTGTTGCATTTGGAAGGTCGTTGATGAACAAAATAAATAAAAGTGGTCCCAAAATGCTTCCTTGAGGGACACTAACTCCATTTGGCCGTAATGACGAATACTTGTTTTTCCAGCAAACAAACTGTTTCCTTTCTGACAAGTAGCTTGGAACCATTTCAAAATCACACCCCTCATGCCATAGTGTTCCAACTTGCCTAATAAAATTGCGTGATCAATGCAATCGAAAGCTTTGAAAAGATCAAGACAAGTTCCAACAACAAAATGTTTTTTTTCCGTGAGTATTCCGATTTTTCTTATTAGTTCTATAATAGCCAGTTCTGTCGAGTATTTTTCACGAAAACCAAACTGATGACTGGAAAGAATGTTATTTTTTTGTAAATAAGATGTGATTCTTTTATACATTATTTTTTCTATTATTTTAGAGAAAGTTGACAAGAGTGAGATGGGTCGAAAATTTGATGCATCATTGTTTCCAGTTTCTTTTTCTATTGGTATAATTTTTGAAATTTTTAAGCATTGAGGAAACACACCTTCCATAATGGAAAAATTGATGATGTATTCAAGAATAGTTGCTGTTGAGTTGATTGTTTCTATAATGACTTTTGTTGGAATGTCATCCCAGGCACTGGAAGATTTTGGAATCAACATTTTAGTCGTAGATATAATTTCATCTGCCGATACATAAACACAAAAAAATGAATTCGAAACCCTGTTTCGAAGATATAATTTCTTATTATTATCAACGTTAAAGGATTTCGTCAAATTTGGTGCTATGTTTACGAAATGTTCATTTAGAAAATTTTCAAGATCTTCTATTAGTTGGTCGTTTGAAGTTAATTGAATACTATAACCGTGTCTACTAGAAATATTTGAAACTTCTTTTATAATTGACCATATTTTTCTAATGTCTGTTTTATTTTGCTTAATTTGTTGAAAATAATATTGACGTTTTGATTTCGTTATCAACTTTGTACAAAATTGACTGAAGCTTTTGAATTTTTCATATTTTTCCTGAACAGGATTTTTCAGAAACATTTTGTATAAATATTTTTTTTGTTGATCATTTTTTAAATATCTTTTGATATCTATGGTTTTTGTTTCATCAAAAGTTTTTTTTCTTCAGTGATTGTATTAAACACGCATCATAGAAACAGGACTGAAAAATTTTGATAAATCTTTCAAAAGCCATATCAACATTTACACACCCAAAAACGTGGCTCCAATCTGATGACAGTAGATGTTCATTTAATTTTCTTATACGATGTGCTGAGAAAGAAAACCTGTTTGAGGACGGAGATTCTAGTTGGTACGTGAATGGTTTGCACCAGACCATATGAAATCATTAACTGTTGTAATTTTGTTTTGTCTCTAGAACCAACTGAATTAAAGCAATCAATATTGAAATCACCAGTGATGAATAGCGATTTATTTTCTAAACTTAATAAAGTTGTTGCTTCTTCTAAGTGGCAAAAATATTTATCTAAATTGTAAGAATGGAGATCGATACGTTATAATTATTATTTTATTTTTTCAGGTTTTTGGTGACAAATTTCTAAGACCAATGTTTCAAAATCAAGCGGAAGTTTTTTATTGATTTCATCACGAACCTTGCAGTTTAACCTATCTGATATATAGCAGCCGACACCCCCTCCCAATTTATGTTGTCGATTTTTGCAAAAAAAATTATATCCTCTTAAGTTTACTAAATTATGGTTTTCACTACGCAGCCAAGTTTCTGATATAGCAATAACATCAAAAAAAACATCCAATTGATCGATAAAATCTTCTAGTTCTGACAATTTATTGATGAGACTTCTTATATTTAGATGAATCAAATTAAAATTTATACCACTGTTAATTTTATTATTTTTACTATAATTTGCATACGTTGATTTAAAATTGTTTATACATGAATGAAAATTACACATTAATTTAAATTTATTTTGAATTTCATTGTAGTTATCAGTTTCATCTTCATCTTCATCATCATCATCATCATCTAGGATATTTAGCTTATCCATCTTTCTTTGTTTTTTCAACAGTAACTTGAGCTTTTTTATTAAATTGCCACTCGCGCACTATAATGTGTTGCGGCAATATCGCTGGGTCCTTTATTTTTTTAACGTCATTTCTATCAATGCAAACTCTGAACATAGAGGACTCTATATCATCTTTAGTTTTATCATCAGAATAGTTGACTGTGTTGTTATCAATACTATTTTCAGATGCTGTCGATTTTTTCTTAAACTGTTTAACGACTGGATAGCATGATAAAACTCTAATCCCGTTAGTAGTCAGATATTCTTCGACATCATTTCCGTGGCATTTGCTAATGTTGCTTAGACAGAAAACAGATTTTTTAATTAACTCTTTGTCTGTATATATGTATATATATATATGTATATATATATGTATATATACATATATATATATATATATATATTCCACAAGAAATTAAAGATTGTAACAATTTGCATCTTTTTAAAAATAAACTGAAAAATTTTTTAATTACGAAAAGTTCTATTTTTCAAGGATAATAATGTATATGTATATATATATGTATATAAGTGTGTACATATTTCATTAACATTGATACATTTTCTCCTATTGACAATTTTATTTTATCATTGAGAAGCAATTTTGAGCTGCACGGTGGCCGAGCCCACAAGAATTAATTTTCTTTTTTTGGTCTCCGAATCATTCATGCTTTTGTTTTGTTTGATTGAATAAAAGTGATTTGATTTGATTTGAAAGTGATTTGATTTGATTTGATTTGATATATATATATATATATATATATATATATATATATATATATATATATACATGTAATGGAAACAATTACGACGAGAGATATTGAGAAAGTGTGAGAGAAAAAAAAGAAAAAATAAAGAGAGTGAGGAAGAGAGGGGACGAAATAAATATATTATAGGGATAAGTTGACAGAGCTTGCACAGCATGTACATAAATAAACATTTAATGACATATAAACTGGAAGAGTGTGTGTGTGGACGTGTTGGTTGTTGTTGTTGTTTGCGATGTGTTCGTTCGTTCGTTCGTTTGTTTGTTTGTTGGTTCGGCTTTGAATTAAATTTGTTTGTGTTTCTGTTTTTTCCAAATGTCTTACATGTTTGTTTGTTGGTTTGGCTTTTTAAACAGTTTGTCTGCTTTTCTCTGTGTTTGCATTATTTGTTTCCGTTCGTTCGTGTAGCAAGTGTTTGCTTCTTTGTTCGCTTGTTAGAAAACTTGCCTGTGCCTTCTATTCAACAATGTTTTAATTAAAAATTTACTTTATGAAATCAATGAAAACATCATCTCACTAACACTAAATGTGACCTGACTTGGAAGGGAGTAAACATTTTAGCCCAACTTCTAATGACATTCCACGACACTTTCATGTTGAGAATCGTTGAAAATTACATAACTCAAATGTCAATAGGCATTGCTATGTGTGTATATTGAATAGATTTTTCTATTAAACTGAACACTACGTTGATGTCATTTCATCATTCATCACGTCAGAGACATCCACGCAACGCATCCAATCCACACAACATCCGCCTTGCATAACATCTTCCTAACAATACACATAAACAACAACACATATAAACACTAAAACACACACACAACACATACACATACCAAAACACATACACAACAACACATATAAACACTAAAACACATACACAACAACACGCACACATACCAAAACACATACACAACAACACATACAAAAAAAACACATACACAACAACACATACACATACCAAAACACATACACAACAACACAAATAAACACCAAAACACATACACAACAACACGCACACAAAAACGACAACGCACATGCACATATCCCATCTTTCGTCACACTTACAAAGTTTTAAAGGGGATTGTTCACTGAAACTTCATCACTTTGTATTAATCAGTTCATATAAACACAAACCTGAAAGCATTTTAAAGCTTTCAATTTGAAGTTTTGTCATTATTATTCGTTGGTGGAATCGGTTTAACAAATTTCTAAAATTTAAAAAATAATGTAAACAAATGTATGAATAAGTGAGTGAGCGAGTGAATGAATGAATGAACGAATGAATAAACAATTGAACGAACGAATGAATGAAAGATTGAATGATTCAATAATTGAGTAAATGGATGAATGAATGATTGATTGATTGAATGGATGAATAAGAAAGCAGAATAATGATTGATCGACAAAGTGGAAGTTGAGTGCATCAACTCGGCAAAAATAAGATCATCCCCTCCCTCCAGCCGGTCTTTCCATCCTCCTCTCCATCAACGTGAGAGATGCCTTCCAACAATCTTCTCTCAGACTGTGGACTGAAACTTCGTGGTGGAAGCTCTGATGAGACGTTTTGCAAAATCATTCACGAGGAACTGAATAAGATGGATGGATGGATGGAGAGATGGATAGATAAGTGGATGGATGGATGGATGGATGGATGGATGGATAGATAAAAATATGGATAGATGGATGGATGGATGGATGGATGGGTAGATGGATGGATGGATGGATGGGTGGATGGGTGGATGGATGGGTGGATGGGTGAATAGATAGATGGATGGATGGATGGATGGATGGATGGATGGATGGATGGATGGATGGATGGATGGATGGATGGATGGATGGATGGATGGATGGATGGATGGATGGATGGATGGATGGATGGATGGATAAAACATTTGATGCGTCTTTATCAGGAGCAACTGGGAGGCACCGACATGGGAGGACAAACAACATCACATCCGTCAGCACATTCATTTGCTTCTGCTTCCATCAGGACTGATTTTAAAAAATTAATGGCTCCGTTAGTTGGTCGTTCATGAAATGCTTGATTGGTCTGCTTCTAATTGATGGATTGGTTATTTGGCTAAATGATTAACAATGAGTAATTATAATATTTTCATCTTTATTTCGCGATTGAAAATTTTTTATATGTTCAAAACATTTAAAAAAAATACAGTTAAAATAATTTTTGGGGAAATTAATAAATCAGAATTTATAAAATTACGGGGCTAAATAAGAACAAATAGCAAGTGAGTTGTAGAATGCGAAAGGTCAAAATGCAGCCACAAATATTCCCACCCAGGTCTGCGTAGATGTTGCAACAAACACATTCGAATCTTCAGTCACATCACTATACACACACACACACACACACACACACACACACACACACACACACACACACACACACACTCACACACACACACACACACACACGCACACACACGCACACACACGCACACACACACAAACAAATAAACACGAATACCGGCAGAACAATACTCCCTCACATGCACACGCACGCATGCCAGCTCTGATTCGTACCTCACAAAGCAGCACTTTCAGGCCGGTCGTCAACATACACTCACGCACACACATACAAACAAATATTTTTCAATCCCCACATAATACATACGTATGCGTATGTACAAAAATAAGAAATGAGAATATGCAAGTGCATTACACACACACACACACATACAAACATACCTGCAACCACACAACAAACATTTTTTGTAAAAATGCTCTACAGTTGAATATATGTGTTGTGTGTGTGTTTGTTGGGTTTGTTGTGTGTCTTGCGTGCGCGTGCGCGCGCGTGTGTGTGTGTGTTAGAAATGACGATGGAATGCCCGGAACAGGAATGGAGGCGCATAGAAAAAGAGAATGGAGACTTAATCAATAATGCACTGCTTGAGAGGACCAATGAAGATTTATCTCAATCCACATTTCAAGGCCGAAAAATGGCGGGAAATCTTGAGCCCCGGAACGGAACGGCGTCCTGACTTGCAGCTGACGTATGAGCGTTTTATGGAGCAGTCGATGTCCCAACCGTTGTGTCGCGCGATAAGTAAGTTTGTAATGTTTTACTGTTTGCGAGGCAACGTTGCATTGTAAGGCAACCAATGTTACGTTGTGAGACAACCAATGTTATGTTGTGAGACAACCAATGTTACGTTGTGAGACAACCAATGTTATGTTGTGAGACAACCAATGTTATGTTGTGAGACAACCAATGTTATGTTGTGAGACATGTTGTCAGACAACCAATATTCTGTTGTGAGACAACCAATGTTAAGTTGTGAGACAACCAATGTACCTAATCACTGTTAAATTATGAAACAAATAAATTAAAAAATAGAATAACAAATCTAATAAAAGACGAAAATAGCAAACAACAGGTCAGCCAATTTGCATTCCAATTCAACGTTATAGGTTGGTTGTTGTCCACAAGATGGTCTATGCCCTGCCCAACGTATTATTTAAATAAATGAAAATGTTAATTCAAATTGATTAAATTAAACATATTACTGAAATTAAAAAAGATGAATAAAAAAAGATGCTATGTAAGAGGTAGCAGCGTCCAACTCGGGCACAATCGACAAACATCCACACACGACAACCTCTTCTACACAAACGTTTATTGTCTGCATGCAAAGTAACACATATTCAATACATTACATACAACAGCTCATCACATACGATTACACATACAACATCACATACAACCTCACATACAACTTACACATACAACTTACACATACAACTTACACATACAACTTACACATACCAACCTCACATACAACTTACACATACAACTTACACATACAACTTACACATACAACATCACATACAACCTCACATACAACTTACACATACAACTTACACATACAACTTACACATACAACTTACGCATACAACTTACACATACAACATCACATACAACCTCACATACAACTTACACATACAACTTACACATAAAACTTACACATACAACATCACATACAACCTCACATACAACTTACACATACAACATCACATACAACTTAAACATACAACCTCACATACAACTTCAAATACAATGTTTTCAACCCTTAGAGAAGCACACAAGAAAGCACACTCGGCGAGAAGGTACGCATGCTTATACTTCACATGCACTGCACATGCACGCACATTTTGTACGTGCATATCGCAGTCGAATTTTTGCATTTTGAAGATTTCAAAACTTCTCACGGACAATTAATTTCTTTAAAAAATACTCTTCAATATTAAAAGAATCTCAAGAATGTTTCATTTTCAAAATTCAGTTTTTTTTATTGACAGAATTTATTTCAAACAAATTAAATTTTTTCTCTAAATTTAAAATATGAAAAAATGATTTTTCTTTATCATGTTATACTGATATTTATTTGGAGAAATTTTGTGAAATGTGACGTCACTTGGAAAGGTTGTGCAAAAGCGTGAAAATTTGATGAAAACCAACAAACATTTGGGAGATATTTAATTGTGCTCACGTGTGTTTGTTTGTGTGTGTGTGCGTATGTGTGCGTGTATATGTGCATGTATGTATATGTATGTGTGTGTGTGTGTGTGTGTATGTATGTGTATGTGTGTGTGGTTGTGCGAGCTGTGTACGTACGTCGGGTCATTAAACATGCAACTGCACATGTGTTTTTTTAGATGTAGAATTGTTGATTATTGTGTGTTTAATTTTGTGTGTGTGTGTGAATTGTCGAATGCGTGATTGGTTGGTTGAGTTGTGACGAGAAGTGCTGTAAGTTCTGTCGGATGTGGAACACTTTTTAATGTTCATTAAAACACATTTGCAACTACAATCTTTTTGAGCAGTTTCTATAAATTTTCTACAGCATACGAAAATATCTCTACAAAGATTAAGTTGAAAAGGGAAAACTCTTGAAAAATTATTTAAAAGTAATTTTCTTAATAATTCATAATGTTTTGCTGATGCATGTCTGACTGAATACAAATGTTCGTTAATATTTCCATCGCGTTTTAATGCCAGGGAGGAGAGCAGATGTTCTCAAGGAAGTGGATGGCAGACCAACAACAAGCACCAGCACGAAGTCACGGGCTGGCTGCTTTATAATAATTCACCGAATTTAAACAAAAACTTTGAAATAAACTTTCATTTTTTAGAAAATAAAATTTCATTTAAAAAGGTGGCGATCATAAGCCAACAGTTTGATCATTCCATGTGGGTGTTTAATTAAATGCTGTCAGTTTTGTAACGTCTGTTTCCAAAACCATTCAATCGAATCATCATCATTGACATGCCGTCAAAGTTGTCTATAGCAACAGCAATTATAAACTATGTATTACCATGAGGTCAAATAAGATTTTGAAGCGCCAGAGTAATTACAAATATTCTATCTGCCCCCACTGCATGCAAATATGCGCATATCCACCTATTTTATGGGGCCTCGGTCATTGAAGCGTTGCCAGGAAGGTGTCAAAAAGTTTGAAAAAATGATGATCTGTAGGGAAAAGGTCTGGGGAGTATGGTAGGTAGGATAGAATTTTGTAGCCCAAGTTTTTCAGTTTTTTCAGCGTTTGTTTTGCAACGTGCGGTCGGGCATTGTCATGGAGAACTGGACATTTTCTGTTGACCAATGCTGGACGCACATACCGTATTTTTTTGTGCATCTCGTCGATTTGCTAACAGTACTTCTTTGCAGTCATTGTTTCATTTAGGTTTAAGAAGCTGTGATGGGTTAATACATCTCCTGACCACCAAAGAGTCACCGTGATTTTCTTCGAAAGCAGGTTTGGCTTTGGGAAGTGTTTTGAATGTTCATCTTAATCCAACCACTGAGTTGAACGTCGGCGGTTGTCGTAAAGGATCCATTTCTTGTCACAAGTCACAATTTGATCCAGAAACGGATTGCTTTTGTTTCGTAAAAGAAGAGATAACGACACTTTGAAACGAAAGTTTTTTTTGCTTTCGCTCAACTCGTAGGGAACTCACTTATTCAGCTTTTTAACTTTTCCAATTTGCTTCAGGTGGTCACAAATTGTAGTGCTGTCAACGTTAAGATCCTTTGCAAGTTCTCGTGTGGTTTTGTGCGGTTCTTTTTCAATAATTGCTCTCAATTCGTCGTTGTCAACCCTACATTGTCTCCCTCGACCATCTTCATCCTCGAGGCTAAAATCACCAGAATGGAATTTGTTCTTACAGTGTGGTTTTTTTAAAAGTACTTGCATCCCAATGCTTGGATAACATTTTGAGTGCCTCTGAGGAATTACGGCCGTGTTTGAACTCTTGAAGCAAATCATGCGAAATTCCCGCTTCGACAACATTTTTTAAAATGCTTAAAGGCCGATGAAATAAAACACCACGCTACTCATTCCAATGTGTTTACATAGATAAATAACTACATCTTTAAATGCTATGTAACATTCAGTGGTAGTCAAAAATAACTTCCTAAAAATGACTCCAAGATGTTGAACCTAGTAAAATGCCACATTATTGTCCCTCAACCTAATATAACCTTAAAATCAAACCTTACACGTCTTAAACTAGCTAAATTTTTATTTAGTGAAAGCCGTTATAATATACTGATAATGATAACGATGGTGGTAATGATGATGTCCGAGCACGATCAGTTTAATACGATGCGTCGACTTTTGTACTTTCGATAACTGGTCTGTAGAACTTTTCATGTTAAGGTGTGGCGAAGCGTGGTTTCATGTCGTCGTCATCATCATCCTCATCATCATAAACTCATCGTTATCATTATATTTTTTGAATTATCATTACAACACCCCACCACACCACACCACACCACACCACACCACACCACACCACACCACACGTCTGCACATTTCAAATCTTAACAAATGAGGTTTCGCTGAAACCGGCGCACGGGCATCGCCCGTAATCATATAATTAATATTGATGGAACATACACATTACCGTTAATATTAACATCAATAATAATAATAATAATAATAATAATAATAATAATAATAATAACCTCGAAAAGAATAACAGTAAGATTATCACCGATAAGATTAATAACTTGTAAGAAGGATGTGACTGACGATGAAGTTGTGAAGAAACTCGCTGAGGTCGCTGTGGAAATGTATGAGATGCCTGGTTCGGCTTTTTATTTAATTAATCAATAAAGATGATTCAATAGTTGAAGTTATTTTTCAAGATCACTTCCATGCGATCATGTAGAGAATGATAACTTTCGTCCATGTTATTTTCATGTCTCAATTCATGTGGTGAACTCGAGTGAACATCAAGTGAACGTTTAGCGAACAGTAGTGAACTATGAACATGGGGTGAACATACAATGATTGTGTGACAAAGATGCGGCAAACATGTAAAAATGAAGTGGCGATTGATGGGTCAGCTCAGGCGATGACAGGGCGCGTGTTCATTCGTTAGGGCGCGGACCATGGCCTGCTGCAAATAATTTCTGTCCAGAACTCAAAGATTATCCGTTTTCGTCATCAGCACCAAAGTTCAAACGTAGTAACATTATTGTCAGATTTGCCTAAAAAAGACCAAAAACATTGAATGAACATGGCATGAACATGGCATGAACATTGAATGAACATAGCATGACCATTGAATGAACATGGCATGAACATGGCATGAACATTGAATGAACATGGCATGAAAATTGATATAAACATGTGATGAACATGTGTAACAAAACTCATCAGCACAGCAGTGGACAGCAGGAATGAAAGCGGAGTGATGCATGACGATTAGCCTCAGATGACGTTTCTTATGTTTACCTACATACATCCGCATCAACATTTGTATCCATACCAACATCGCATATCCAACACATCTGCATTTTTATTCATATAAATAGTCGGTAAATTAGGAGCGGCATGTCTAGTCTGGCGACGTTGTTGTTGCGTGCTGACCTGGTTCAAATGCTATCAGTTCGAAACAAAAAAAACTCCAACACGAGTTGGGCATTCATGTGATGAGGCTGGCTTGAGGCGCATGCAGTTTGTTAACCCTCGTGTGGATGTGTTTGTGGCACGAACGTTCACTTTCAACCTCAATAGACAAAAGAATTTTTTTTAAATAAGCAGTCATGATTGTAGGAACTGCAAGCAAACAAAAACAATTACTCGTACCACGTGGCACGTCCACTCATCAACATTTAAAGCTGGCTCGCAATCGAGTTCTCCGCCAGTCCAGTGTCTGCAGGCTCGTCTGTAGTTTGGTTTGAAACAAAAACATGTTTGCGGGCCGGTGGATTCGATCGGGTCGAACTTTTAAAGAGGGAACAAGTTCAATTTTTTGCTTTTATGTATTTATATGTATGCGTGTGTGCGTGTGAGTGTGTGTTTGTGTGTTTGTGTGTGTGTGTGTGTGTGGGTGTTTTAAATAGCCACTTGTCATCATTTTAAATATTTAAATATAGTTAACAAATTTCGATGCTACTTTTTGAAGCACGTTGTGCAGGCAAATTTTTTTCACAGCCACCGTTGCTCGGCTGTCTGAAGTTATAAAAAAATGTTTGCAGACGCAATGGAGATTTAATTTTAAACACGAAAATTTACTGAAATTTTAAAATTTTTATTTTTCTTCCGTCGTGTTGCAACTCAGTCACACGTGCAACCAAGATAAAGGGACGCAAACACTGGGAGTATTTGCACCAAGGGTACTACACATGGAATAAATACGTGCACACACACGCACACACACATATACACCTACAGAGACACACACGCAGTCACACACATACAGAATCACACACGAACATATAAGAATGACATAAACATAATTTGAGAGTAACCACATAAGCTCTTGGTGCTCTTGACTGAGTGTTTGTTGCCAAAAATATTTTCAACCTGTACAAGTGTACACTCGGAGATGTGAAGAAATTCTGTTTTTTATTTCTCATTTTTATTAAATTATTTTAACAAAATTCTGAGAAACAAATTTACTTATTTTCGGGCGGTTCTACTTTTTTTAAATTTAAAAATTGCAATCGGTTCTGCTGCTTCTGCTGCCACCAACTCCTTTTCAATAGAGAAAACGAAACGTCAAATTAAACGAGAAATTTGAGCAGTTTACTGTGGAGGTGATGTGTTGGATGCACTGTTCAGTAGCATGTCACTTCGTTGTTTTTCCAATGTAGACGAGTTTCTAACCGCATCCTGGCCATTATTTTGACATTTTTTTTCAAATTTGATGGTCCCCTCTGATGACGACCGGGCACAACTGACGAGTGCGAATTTTGTGCCAATCCAAATTATGATTCATCTTCTTCATTCATTCGTTTTATTAAAAAATTAACTACAGCAGGTGAAATATCACAAATTGCTGGCGTAGGTTTCTGAAAACATTTCAGTTGATTTCTTGCGTGCTATGTTTTCCATTGAAGAAATTCATTAAACAATTCCAACTCATGCTGTGCAGTATGTGTTGAACAGGGACGCACTTTAAGACTTTTGAAACATGGGATAGATAAATGCCCAACATCACATTGAGCAGAGTTAACAAAAGTGAAACAAAAACTCAAACTCTATTAAAATTCACCATTTTTGGAACTTCGCATACGCTGCATTTGATGTGATTTCTATCTTGAGGTTTGCAGTTTGCACGCAAAATTCACAAACTTGTGAAATTTCCTAGCAGCATCAAACAATTCCAACCCGACCAAACTAATTTTATGAAACGAAGTACGACTTTGAAAAAATTATTTGAAAAAATTAATACAAGACCGACTGAAGACTTATGCATACTTACATTACAATATATAACATATATAACATTTGTATATATATATATATATATATATATATATATNATATATATGTGTGTGTGTGTGT